TGGGGAGCTCAGGAGGAGAGACGGGTGCTGGCAGGCGCAGATGAAGATCGAGGACACATGGGAGTGCCTCTGGAAGTCCTCTTCTGCCTGCTTTTCTTCTCAAGGTCGTTAGTTGACAATGAAGTTGTAGGAGGGGGCGTTGGTGGTTTGGGGAGAGGAAGTGTGAAAACTCTCAGGACAGTGCAATGGTGAAGGGTCGAGGGAACCGCAGAATGATTGCTGGGTTTCCATGAAACATCAGGATCATGCATTTAAAGTAAAGATCAGTCAGCAAGGTTATGTGCTCCTCCCGCTTTACCCCACTGCCCGCATGCAGGGGTGGGGTAGGAGGAGACGCTGGATCTAGCCAGGCTCGTGGCTTAGTGAAGGGGGAGGGTGTCAAGGCAGTGAAGGGTGCAGACAGGGGGTGGTGATAACCACAGCCGGGCACGGAGGGAAGTGACACATGGCGGTGACGGATGGTAAAAAGCTGGTAGGACCTGCAGGTTGAAGGTCCTCTGGGCTTCGAGAGTCCCTGGGCCTGTGGTGTCAGGTCCTTGGGAAATAGAGGTCTGTGGGCAAAGTGTTGAAGCCTCGACTGTGGACGGGTTGTCGTGATGTTGAGATTTAATACTCTTTAAAAATAAACTCTGGGCAGGCCAAGAAAACATACCTACATCTTGAACTTAGCTTGTTTTCTAGCTGTGTCTGTGGTGGCTTTGCCTGTTCCGATGTCTCCATTTCCTCCAATCAAGTCTCCTGACTTCTGGGTCCACCTTTCGCACCTGCCTTCTCTCCCAGTCTCCAGAGCTGCCTGTGCCCGCCCTGCAGGGCTCTGCAAACTTGTCACCTTCCCACAACCTGCTCTTGCCACTGTTAAGTCCCAGGGGTGGCATCTTGGCTGCCCAAGGCAGACCCTGGCTCCCACCACCACCCAAAGTCCATCCTGTGCCCAGTTCCTTCTTCCTCCCACATCTCTTCATTCGGTGATGACCGCGACATCCTCTGGCCCAGAGGTCTCACTGGTCTATCCTTAACTGGCTACTGGAGTGACCTTTATACCACCCAAATTTGACCACATGACCTCCTTGCTTAAAACCTTTGAATGGCTCCTCCATGCCAGACTCCTTACCTGGGCACACAAGGCCTGGTTATTAGGCAGGGTTCTCCAGAGAAACAGAAGGAATAGGCTGTATATAGATGCAGAGAAAGTGAGTAATCAGGAGAGATTGGCTCGTGTGATTATGGAGACAGAGAAGTCCCACAATCTGCAAGGAAGAGGCCCAGGAAAGCCAGTGGTGTAGTTTCACCTAAACCTGAAGGCCTGAGAGCCAGGAGAGCCAATGGCGTAAATTCCAGTCGAAGCCTGAGGGGCCAAGAACCAGCTGTGGTGCAGGGAGAGTCGATGTTCAAGGGCAGGAGAAGATAAACGGTCCAGCTCCCGCAGAGAGAGCAGTGTCCCCCTTCCTCTACCTTGTTCTGCTCAGGCCTTCAACAGATCAGATAATGCCCACCCATATTGGTGAGGATGATCTTCTTTCTTGAGTCTGCCGATTCCAGTGCTAATCCACATACCTAAAAAGAATGTTTTCTCAGCTATCTGGGCATCCTTAGCCCAGGCAGGTTAACAGATTAGAATTAACCCTCACAGCCCCCACTTCCTACCTAACACCCAGGCCCTGCAAAGTCTACAGTCAACTGGATACCTCTGAACATGCTTCTCCCATGCTAGGCTTGGCTGTTTGCTGATGGGCTGTGTCTCATCCTCTATTTTGCACAGTCTCACAATTAGTAGAAACTCAATAAATACAGGATTGATTGAAGAAAAGCATTGAACTTGAGGTTGGAGGACATGGAATTTAAGCCCTCTGTGGCTTACTCAAGGCAATTCCCTTTCCCTTTCTGGGTCTCAGTTTTCTGGATTGTACAATGGGGCTGACTTCTGGCCTGCCTGTTGCACAGGGCAGTGATGAGGGTCAGGTGGAGGCTCAGGAAATGTGAAAGTCATGTCCAGGTCTGTCTTAGGTTGGCCCAAGGGAACAGTCTCCAAGGTGGAGAACTATGAGTAGATGGCTTATTGGAGTCAACATAGGAGGGGGAGTGAGGGAAGAAGGGTTGGGCAGAGAAGGGGCTGAGCTGTGATGCAGTCATGACAGAGGCCCCAGATGGTCCCATAGGAGCTTCATAGCTGGGTTGGCCCTAGAGTCAGTCCAGGCTGAGGCAGAGGGGCAAGGTCTGTGTTCCTCCCCTCCATCAGTAATTGAATGTGGGTTGCCTTTGGGGGAGGGTGTGACCCTGATCAAGGCAGTATCCTTAAGCTGAGAGCAGCTCCCAGAAAGAGTTTCAGCCATCAGCAGCCAACACTCCCATCAGCTAAACCACTGGTCTGATCCTGGGAGCCTGGGTAGCCCATCACAGCACCCATGAGCTGTGGAGCTGTATGGCTGTCAGCAAGCCCTGGAACCAGTAGCAGGGATCTGTGTTACACATTCAAAGTCTCTGCTCCTGCTTTAATGACCTGCCTTCCTGCCCCTCACATTCCTACCCCCTGTCCTCACTCACATCACTCCAGCCACATTCCGCCCCTTCCTGTTCCTCAGATGCTCCATGCACAACCTGTCTCTGGCCTTAGCCTCTGCTGTTCCCTCTGCCTGCAACGCACTTCCTCTAGATACCACATGACTCATTTTCTTACCTTCTTCTGAGCCTCTGCTCAAATATTCCCTCAAAGAGAGACTTTCTGTGACCCCCAGTTAAAAAGCCACCTTCCATCACTCTCTGTCCCCTTGCCCTGTTTTATTTTTCTCCCAGTATGTATTGCCGCCTGTTATATATTTTTTGTTTTTCTGTTGATTTTCTCTTCCACAAGAAGTTATGCCCCTCTGGGGGTGCATCCCATGGGGATGGATCGGGGGCCCCACCCACTCACACCACAAGCTCTGTCTCCAGCCCAACCCTGTGATGGCAACTTGCTCCATGCTGCTGCTGCTGAGTGGTTACAACCTTTAGCCAAAATGGTGCCGACTCCAGGTCTTGGCTTGTCAGTCATTGACTGGCTTTGTCCTTCAGCAGACCTGTGTCATGCGCCTTCTGGGTGCCAGGCCCCCAGGTGATTGGTGGGGAGGGAGGTGGAGTCGTGCAGTCCCTTACAGGAAAGCAGCATTCGTGAGCCAGGCTTAGAGCTGGGCACCAGAGGGGCTATCACCAGACTTTGTCCTGGGGTCTCATTTGTTTGCCCAGCAGACACTCTGTGCCTGCTTGTAACTGGGCCTCAGCACCCATCCACCTAATGGTTACTCAGCCTCCCCTTTCTAAGTGAGGGTCTCTGCTTTGGGGTGTTTCCCCTTTTCTGATCTGCCTTGACCTTGGCCCCCTTCTGCTCTCAGAGCCTCCGCCCCATCTGTCATTGTGTTCCCTCCCAGGCATTTGCACTCGCCTTTCTCCAGCAGGTGGAGCGGGCATTGTGCCAGGAGGCCTGAGTTCACACCTCAGTTCCACCACATCCCAGCTGTGTGACCCTCAGCAAATCACTCTACTTGCTCTGAATCCTTGGGAAGCTTCCTGACTTTCCCTCCCCTCCCCCAAACCGGAGGTGATAGCACCCTTACGACACCTCCCACATTATTTCCTTCACCTCTCTTGTGGCCCACCCCAAGTGGCAAAATTGCACAGTAGTGAGGAAGAAGATAGCGCTGGCTGTCATCCTAATTGGTCAGCCGTGTCAGGGTGGGGACTACAGTACATCAGGTGCAGTCAGTCCTGGCCAGCCAGACCACAGGCTTCATATGGCCAAATCATTCCGTTAGTTTTTCAAGAGAAATTACAAATGCAGATTTGCACATGAAACCATCCACTTCAAAATATTAGCAACAAATTCAGTAATAATAATAATTTAAAGATCACTGTGGGAACCAAATAAAATACACTGAAAGGCCTATTTGGCCATGGGGCTCCCAGCTTCTAATGGCTGCATGAGCATCACAGAGTGTGGGCTTGAGTCCCAGCTCTGTTCCTTACTTCAGACTTGACCTTGGCCAGGTGCAGTCTCCTCTCTGTACTTTAAGTCCCTCGCCTGTGAAATGAATATGGTAATAGCTAACACTTATTGAGAACTTCCTGGGTATCAGGTGTCATTCTTTCTATGCATTAATCTTTCCAATCTCACAGTAATCCAATGGAGTGAGGACTGTTATTAGCCCAGGATGTGGGAACTGTGTGTTAGCCCAGGCAGTCTGGCTCTAGAGGCATTTCTGTTAACGGCTAGTCTGGCCAACTTTGTTGCAAGGATCAAGTAAGAGTCCTTACATAAGACCCTTGTCACATTGCCCTGTGCAGCATAAGCCTGCAGAGTTGACACACAGGGGCATCCTGCATGCATGGGCCTTGTGCATGCTCTTCTCCACTTACCACCATGAACATGATAACTCCTTGAGGGTCGGGGTGTTCTACCTCTCTCATGCTCCCACCTCCCTGGCACCTTCCAGATTGGCTCAGTGATTTGAAGAGAAATGAGGAAGAGAATTGGTGGAGAAGTGCAGAGAGCCTTGCCAGCCCCCTACTCCTGCACCCCTGCCCCACCTACAAATACTGGCTTTTTAAGGGATACCAAACAGAAGCCACTGTCCCTGCCTAGGGGTCCATCAGGAGCCCAGTCCAAGGCAGGAAACAGTTAGCAGAGAGCTGAGAAAAGCATGTCATTGTGCGCAGGAGTGTGAGGGGCAGGAAGGTGCAACTGGTTTATGGGGTTCTGTGGTTGGCGTTAATTTCTTTAAGAGTGCTCCAAAGACATCAGACGCTGTGATTACCAGGATGGGCCTTCTTCTCTGCTTCTTATTACCCAGATGCCCGGTGGCCAGTGGAAGGCCATTAAATGCCTGTCTTTGATCCAGGATGAGTTCTGCCATCACCCCCTATGTGGCCCCTTCCCCCTCTTCCTGCCCTCCTCATCAACCTGCAGCCACTCTCCAGGGCTTGGTGTCTACAAGCTCCTGGTGACTCCTCTTGTCTGTCTCCTTGTACAGAAATGGAAGCTCCACTCAAGGAGGCGCCGGGAGGCCCCAAAGACATCTCCAGGATGTAACTGCCCACCAGGTAAGGAGCTGCAAACTTTGTTGCAAGGATCAAGTAAGAGTCCTTACATGAGACCCTTGTCACATTGCCCTGTGCAGTATAAGCCTGCAGAGTTGACTAGGGTCAACTAGGCTCTTACTAGGGGCTTGGTGAGAGTGTGGGTGTTCCTAGAACTGAGACTAGAGGCTCTTCCTGGTGTCCACGCTCTAGCCACATCTCACTCAAGCCATCACTTTTCATTTGAAAGATGCAAATGACAGTATCTGTGGTTGCTTTCCATCTACTCACTGATTGGCCTGCCTGCCCTGCATCCATCAGTCCATCCACCAATCATAGAGTCTTTTATGGGCCTGATACTCTTTGAACCAGGTTGTGGTGAAGTCAGATAAGATGATGGTCATGGCTGTTTTGAAAGTTATCAAGTGCTATGCAGCGTCAAAGGAACCATCGCCCACCCCCGCAAAAGGGGAGGTACCTTGCTGGCTGTGTTCATCATTGCGTCCCCAGCTTCCCAGGTATACAAAAATGTTGGTTACCCAAATGATTGACCCCATAATTGTAAGACCTTCTTTTCTTTTTCTTTCTTTCTTTTTTTTTTTTTTTTTTTTTTTTGAGACAGAGTTTCACTCTTGTTGCCCAGGCTGGAGTGCAATGGGGTGATGTCAGCTCACCGCAACCTTTGCCTCCCGGGTTCAAGTGATTCTCCTGCCTCAGCCCCCTGAGTAGCTGGAATCACAGGTGTGTGCCACCACACCTGGCTAATTTTGTATTTTTAGTAGAGACAGAGTTTCTCCATGTTGGTCAGGCTGGTCTTGAACTCCTGACCTCAGGCGATCTGCCTACCTCAGTCTCCCAAAGTGCTGAGATTACAGGCATGAGCCACTGTGCCTGCCCAAGACATTTTCTAGAGCTAGCTGGATTTGGGTGATGCGTGTTCACTGTATGGCCTCTAGGCTACATGCGCACATACACACACTCACATGCAAGGAATGAAGACAAAAGCCAAAGGTTTCAAGGTGATGCTGTGTAATACAGTGAACTGGTCTAATTTCGAACAGAAATCTGCTTTGCCACTTACTAGCTGTGTATGGGTGGACCCCTGACCTGCCTATTCTAGCACCTTCCTGTGTATCCTAGGGCCTGCTCCTCAACTGTGTCTATTCATCTGTGTAACAGCTGCATACTGAGGACCTGCTGGGCACCATGCAGTGTGTTCGGTTCAAGTGCATTGTCCGCTGTGAATGCAAATGATAAGTTACAGCTTATGAGACCTTTTCTAGGTGCCCGTTATTGTTCAGCCATGAGAACGACAGATGAGAAAGTTTCAGTGTTTTCCTGAGGAACTAGAATGGGCTGTACCTCTTTAGGGGTGGGGAAGGAAGGTCTAAAAAAAGGGTTGGGGGAGACAGGGTAGCACATTTAAGTAATGGCAGCTCAGCATGTGGCCTCCTCGATACCCACAGTGGCAGGTGGCACTGGCAGGGTGCTCACTGGGCTCTCTGGCAGGCCCTCCTCTGGCCCCAGAAGCTGAGGGGCCCAAGTAACCCTCACACAGGTCCCCAAGCCAGGAAAGAGAGGCCGACAGATGTTAAGCATATGGGAAACGAGGGACGGCATTTGCGGGAGAGTGAATGGGCTGGGGTGGGAGTCTCGGTTCTGGGATGCTGCCCAGGGAGACAATGAGACCGTGAAAAGATTCAGCTGGACCTGGTGAGAAAAGGATCATCCGGGTTAATTAAAAGGGTGTCCAGAAGTCCTGGGACGCTCCTTCCCTCACTCTGGGCCCAGAAGATTGGGCCTTGGGGTCTGGGAAAGCTTTCAGAAGAATGCCAAGATTAATGAGATGGGGTGGAGGTGAGGGTTGGGTGATGAGGCCTGGGAAGAGAGACGGTTTGCATCAGGGTTTGTGAGGCAGCCCATGTTTCCAGTGACTGTATCTGCTGCTCTTATAACTCTTGAGCAGTGACAACCAATTTTTGTTCAGCATATAGAATGCTGGTTAAGGGCAGGATATTTGGAGCCACAGAAGGTGTAGGTTCGAATTCCATCTCCAACATGGACAAGGCTTATGAACTTCAGAGAGTTATTTAACCTCCTTGTGCCTCAGCTACCTTGTCTGAAAGACAGGGACAATAGATACTTTGCAGGTGTCTGGTAGATATTCCATGAGATCATCCTAGAACTGCTTAGCACCTTCTCTGATTCCTGGTAAGCACGATTATTATTATTTTCTCAACTGCCTCTCACACTTCAAAGATGCACAGAAACCCTTAACAAATGTCATGTTCTAGTGTTGGGGGCACATTTGTGGCCAGACAGAGCCTTGTCTTTCTCCCTTCTCTGCCTTATTGGGGAAGGCACATCAGCTATCTGATAGCTTTCAAGTGTTCTATCCACCATGAGAGTAGGTGGCTGTCAGTAGGTTTCAATATTGTGCTTCAGAAAGTCTGGCTCAGGTAGTCCTGGGAGGCTGGGAGTCGGGGAGGTATGTGGCAGGAGGGGAAAGGACTTGGAAGAGGGCTTCTCTTCTCCCTGCCTGCTGGGAGTCTGTGTGGAACCCAGGGGTCCTGGGCAGTGAGAAGACCATGAAGTAGCTCAGAGGGTCGGGGAGGAAGAAACATCATGGGGAGAAGAAAGGGCTTGACACTGTTCCTCTGCGGGGTGGGGACAGCAGCAGGGACTGAGTTGGCCAGGCATGGAGGGAGAGTGAGCCGGGGCTCCTCAGAGGGATACCCCTGCATGTTGAGAAATTTTTTGGAAGGCACTTTGGCCCAAAGCATAGATCAGAGCCAGGGGGCAACAACCGAAGAATTTAAAGAGAAGGTCCCAAACTCAGAATTTAAAGAGAAGGTCCCAAACTCAGGCAAAATTAGAGAGAACTGACATGCTGTCCCAGCCTTTTGGAACTGAGGCAGAGGACTGGAATGGCCACACGGAAGCATCCCATGTCATGAAATCACTGCGAAATACATCTCCTAGGATGAGTTGGGTCCTGCTGAGTCCCCCAGCCTCTCTCTGATTCAGCTGAGGCTTCTCATGCCTTGGTACAGTGACCTCCTCAACACCAAACACAACCTATTTTAAACAATAGCAGTTACTGCCGCTGTGCCCTAATTGAGCACCTACGATGTGCCAGGCACAGGATTGAGCACTTCATGTGTGTTGGTAACCTCCCTCGAAATATTAAAAATAGGTAGAAGGGAGTTCAGTTCTAGCGCTCTGGAATGTTTGAACATCCTTAGATTTGCAAAGAGAACATCACGTTCATTCTTGTCCTTACATCATGCATTTCCGATTATTTCCTGAGGATCGGAATTTATAAACCACTTTAAGGCTCCTGATCCTTGCAGATAGACTCATATGATTGTCAAGTGCCACACACAGATTCAACGCTTGATTCACTCTTGTATTGCCAGCCCCTAATACTGTACATAGTAGATGCTCTGTGAATATTCAGTAATAGCATCAGTAGTCATTGCTGATGACTGGCTTCTTCCTTGTGTTCTCCCTCTGCTAGCTGATTGGTTTCAGACACCTTATCCTCCACCCCACCCCACATCTTGCCTGATCCTGAATTCACTGCTATTGGGAAAAAACAAATAAACACATTCTTCCTGCCCACTGTGGTCGCTGAGATGGAAGCCTAGATCCTCAAACCCGTGCCTGCCCTCTTCGGCCAACTAGACTGAGTCCTGCGGTGGGTGTGTTCTTCCTGTGGCAGTCTTGGGCCCCTGGGCGGCACCCAAAAGGTTTGCGACACATAATCGTGGGCAGAAAATCTGCCTCTTTCTCTTTCTATCTGACCTTGCCAGCATCCTCCTGGGATCCTCCCTGTCCCAAAATAGCCATCTACTGGCTAAGATCTGGCTGCATCCTGCTTCTGGGCTGCATGTGCTTTTTGCCAAGGGAGTGATGGGCTTGCAGGCTTGAGAAGGATGCCAAAGGTCAACCCTCAATTAGGAGGGTCATGGCTGCCAGAAGTTCAGAGGAATAGGCGTGGGCCATTTGCAAAGCATATGGCCTGGTGGGACAGGAGAAGGGCCTTGGGAACAGATATACATACTGTGAGACTTCCTAGGCCACGTGAGAAAAACACAAAGACCAGGGAAACTTTCCCATTCTCGGTCCCTTTTCTCATTAACAAATGGGGAACAGGACATTATAGGTTCTAGCCAGCAAGGAAGCAGCTACTTCAGGCCCGCCACGCTGGGGCTGGGTGGGGCTGGCCTGTGTCAAGTCCAGGGCGGGGCAGGCAGTGTGAAGGATGACACATTTTTGCACCCAGAGGGAAGAATGGCCAGCTCAGCTGCTGGAGGAAATCACTTCACTGTCTGAGCCTCATCTCCAAGGGAAAGGGTAGGCCATAGTCATGCCCTGACTGCCAAGACAAAGGGCTTGGACTGCAGCAGTGGTGGCATGGGGGTGATGTGGTCAGGCTTGCGCACTAGCGCCATGAACGCACTGCAGAAAGGATGGATGAAAGCGGGTAAGTCACCTTCAGCCAGTCTAATGGGAGAGGGTCCCCCGCCCAGCCTCTCTCTGACTCAGCTGAGGCTTCTTATGCCTTGGTATGGTAACCTCAACACCAAACCCAACCTATTTTAAATAATAGCAGTTACTGCCACCGTGTCCTAATTGAGCACCTACTAGTGCTCAGGCCTGGGACTAAGCACTTCATGTGCATGGCTTACCTTCCTCAAGATACTAAAAATAAGTAGAAGGGAGTTCGGTTCTTAAACTCTGGAATGTTTGAATACCCTCAGGTTCCCAGCCATCTTCTGGGTCAGTGTGTGGTGAGGGGGTATATGTGAAGTACCCAGGAGCCAAAGGAGCTGGGGGCTCTGGGAAAACTTCACCAAGGAGTGGCCCTGGAGTTTGTTCCTAAGGAACAAAGAAGCAGGTAGGAAGGCATATCGTTAGGGTGTTATAGATTCCATAGGGTGTCCGCATAGACACCATAAAAAGAGACCTCCCAAATACAAGGACTTAGACAAGGTGGAGGTGGAGGTCTCCCTTCCCTAGCAGGCCAGGGCTAGGAGCTGGCTCTGCCGTCTTCACCTCTGGCAGATGCTTCGATTCTCACCACCCCCTGACCAGCATGCAAGGGGAAGGGGACAAGTGGAGTATATGTTCAAACCCTCAAGAGCAAAAATTGAAAATGGAGACATAGATCACTTCCTCTGACATCCCATTGGCCATTACTTAGTCACGTGATTGCCCCCAGGTTGAAGAGAGGCCAGGCAATATTTCTTGTGGGTGGCAATATGCTGAGATAGAACTTTATTACGATGGCAGGTGGGAGAACAGATATCGAAGAATAACTAGCAGACTGCACAGAGCACATTTCAAGCTGGCTGAAGGACTGTCATGGACAAAGGCTCTGAAGAGCGAGAAAAAGGCAGTAAATTTGGAGATGGCAGGCAGTTGAAGGAATCTGGAGCACAGAGCAGTAGAAATGAGTGGGAGGAGACGTCAAGACTGCAAAGGGCCAGGCTGAGGCTGCCCGGCTCTCTCTGTCCAGTGGGAGGCAAATGATTTCGTCCAGAGGGTGATTGATTGGTAATGACTGCCTGGAGGGCTATGCTGAGTCAGCTTCTGACGCTGTATATGGTTCAGCAGAAAATGTGGTAATCACTTATTGATGTCTGCAGTGGATGCAGGAGTGGTAGGGAGCAATGCCTCTGCCCTGGCTGTGCTGTCTTCACAGGAGATGATGTGGCATCAGAGAAGGTTTGGGGAGCAGGGATGTGACCTGATCCAATTTGTATTCTAGAACAATAACTATCAGTGATATGGAGGCTGGTCTGGAGGGGAGAGAAGTCCCTTCCAGCATCAAAAGTCTGTGATCCTATGATTAGGGCTTTATTTTCTTATGAGATGCTATTTATATTCAGGTTGTAATGGCCTCTCCAACCTTGGTTGTTTTTTCCATAACTGGTGAGAACTGATGCCCACACATCCTGAACCCTATTCTCTGGCTAGCCTTGCCCTATTTTCCCTGGCACCAGACTTTGCCCCAACAGCCTCATGACATTTACATGGGCAGGACCTGTAGCCAGAACTTTGGTCACAAACCAGGCTCCTTCACCTCCCCTGCGCTGCAGCAGTGCAGACCCATAGCCACATTTCTTTGTGGTCCTTCTTATTTCAGACTTGGCTTATTTCAGGACTCTGCAGACCAAAGTGTCCCTTGTTGCCATCAATGAAGAAAAGATTCAAGAGTTGATGGTTATTTAGGGAGAATATTTAAA